CTTTTCCAAGTGTACACATCAACACACATACATGGATAGAAACCCAGAAAGTCACCTCTAGATTATTATGTAAAAATGAACCTACAAAGAATACACTTACCAGTTGGAATGACTGATTTATTTTCAGGCATGTGGTATACAATCAATCGATTGATAACCGTAATGACTTATGAAGAGAAAATGAGGAGCACAAAGAGCTTATTTGGTTATTCCATTTTGAATTTGACTATTTCATTTTGAATCTGCTATGTCCCATTTTGAATTTGACTATTTCATTTTGAATCTGCTATGTCCCATTTTGAATTTGACTATTTCATTTTGAATCTGCTATGTCCCATTTTGAATTTGACTATTACATTTTGAATCTGCTTAGTCACATTTTGAATTTGACTATTTCATTTTGAATCTGCTTAGTCACATTTTGAATTTGACTATTTCATTTTGAATCTGCTTAGTCACATTTTGAATTTGACTATCCCATTTTGAATTTGCTATGTCCCATTTTGAGTTTGACTAATCCATTTTGAACTTGCTATGTCCCATTTTGAGTTTGACTAATCCATTTTGAACTTGGCTATTTCATTATGAACTTGCTTAATCTCAAACTGACTTTGATTAACCCCAAATTGAACTTGAAATGGCATAGTTTAAGTCCACGAGAAATGTGTATTGAGTTTTGTCATCGCTTTTATAAGTTTTTTTTTTAATTTTTAACGACGAAATCTCGTTTTATTTCAAAACAGATTTCCTTTGGTTGTCGTTACTGGAAACAGCAGAAAGCAATAAGAAGCAGCGCAAAGATATTGTTTAATTCACCCATTAAAATCACAAGATGATAAAAAACTTTTCTTTTTCAACTATGAAAACGGAAAGAACACGAAAATGTTCCTCACTGTCAAACACAGATGAACGGATTCGAAATGAATGGTGGTACTAGTGGTAAGTCTTATAGACTCTCCCTTAAAGCGTTGGGTATCACAGGCTAGACGTTAATATTGTTTTCTTTAGCAAGATTATTACGGGGGTCGGGATTGCTAGCTGCATACAACCGGTTTTGAATTCAGAGCTGTCCTTGTAAACAGGTTGCTAACTAAGGCTAAAATGACCAGTCTCCCCCCTGCTACTGATTCTGGTTGCGCATCGAGAGGAAGTGCATTCAAACCTTTTTAAGGGTATTTATGAGAAAGTGAACGCAGTAGTCTCGGCTGGAATTTGAACGTAGCACGCTAATTTCACTTTCGAGACGTGATAGCCTCTACGCTATGCACATATCCAGAGAACTTATTAAAAGGCAATGAAAAGAAACAACTGGATACACTCATTGCTATGTACACAATAATTGACGCATTTTAGTCGACAAACCTTACAAGAATATTGTTATGGGACCTTACCCATAATAACATAGTGGACGTAATAAATACTGCGCCTCAAGAGGAAGCAGGGACTTCCGCCTGAAGTCGAACGACCGGCTGATCGGTTGAACTCTCTGCCTTCAGGCGAGGAGGAACCCGAAGGAGGCTACGCCGAAAGGTGGAGTCTCTTTCAGGGAGGTAAAACGACCCTGAACCCGTTTATAAGGGTTCAAAGGGCATATTTTTGTCCGAGCCCACGGGCACGGAGATCCCACATTAAACCGGCCTTGTGCCACATGATGCCCTCGTGGGGGGAGGATAAATACCGTTCAGTTTGAAGTCGGACGACTGGCTGACAGGCTGTTCAGTTGAACTCTCTCCCTTCGGGCGGGGAGGAACTCGAACGAGGCTACGCCGAAGGGCGGAGTCTCTTTCCGGGAGGTAAACCGACCCTGAACCCGTTTATACGGTTTCAATGGGCATATTTTTGGCCGAGCCCACGAACTCTCACGTTAAACCGGCCTTGTGCCACATGATGCCCTCGTGGGGGGGGGGTGATTAAATACTGTTCCGTCTGAAGTCTACAGTTCCGTCTGAAGTCTGAGTTCAGTCTGAAGTCTGGAGTGTAGTCCGTCAGTCAGTCAGAGCGAGCGAGTCAGTCAGTCGAGTCAGAGGCAGTCCGAAACAGAGTCGCGTTCAGACAATTACTACTAAACCTGATTGTTAGTTCTAACACTTTCTACTTCTCTGTATATATTTCTGTTTGTAATATATCTGTGTTATTCCATATCCGCCTTCGGGTTCTTCTTTATTGGTTCTACCTTGGACTATCACCGTGGTACAAGGAACCGGACCATAACAAATATTCAACAGAAACGAAGTCGCAAGACTAAGGGGAATTTGAACAAAATCCGAAAACTTTTAAAACTTACATTCTTTCTGTTTCTCATTTCACACTGTTGCTTCTTGTATTTTACAGGAACCGGATATAACTGAAGCAGTGATGTCAGGTCAGTACTAATTACATTCTTTTTTGGATTTTATAAAGAATCTCTAAGTACACGAAGTACAGGGTATTTCACAATAGTTATTACAAAGCAGCGACATCTCAGATGGGAATAGTTCAGGAAGCGGGTGGAATTCGGTGAGGAGGAACAGTGGTTCCAGCAGGATGGTGCTCCTTCTCACGCTACTAATGTCATCATGTTATGGCCCCGTGAAAAGATTGGGGAGTGTCTCATCTGCTGCAAAGCTGAAGTGGAATGGGCACCTCACTCGCCTAACCTGAACCCCTCAGATTTCTTCCTCTGGCGATTCCTCAATGAAATCATCTGCCTGGGCAACCGTCGCACCATGGTTGCTTTAGAGGCAACCATCACTGAGAAAATTCAAGCGATCACCCAGGTGAAATCTACACGCGTTATCAATAACTTTGCATTCAACAATGCCTTCAACTGAAAGTCGGACATCTGGAGTATGTACTCTAGGGCTCCTCTTGACATTTTTGGTTGAGACTTAATGGTTTCAGATCGTAAAACGTTATCCTTTTACCTATCAGTAAGTGTAATTTTTTATTACTCCATCATATGTGGTTCTTGATTTGCGTCCGATCTTTTTGTTTCAAAAATTGTGAAAGCCCCTGTAGAAGCAACTGATTAGAAGTGGCATTAAGATTCAACGTATGAACAAATGGGGGATTTGTAAATGTATCAGATAGATATAAAGATATAAATATAAATAAAGCTAGATATAAAAATATAAATATAAATAAAGATATAAAAATAAATATAGATGTAAAGTTATAAATAAAAATAAAGACATAAAAATATATATATATAAATAAAGATAGATATAAAATATAATATAAATAAAGATATAATATAAATAAAGACAGCTATAAAGACATAAATATAAATAAAGATATAAATATAAATAAAGATAGATATAAATAAAGATAACTATAAAAATATAAATAGACATAAATATATAAATATAATTAAAGATATATATAAAGATATAAATATAAATAAAGATATAAATATAAATAACGATAGATATAAAGATATAAATATATTTAAAGATATAAGGAGATAAATATAAATGAAGATATAAAGATATCAATATAAAGATAGCTATAAAGCAGAGAGAAAGGGAAATTTTAACGTTTTTCTATTCGAGATATGGCAGTGGCTCGGAGAACTCAATTCGTATTTGAAGAGTAATGCATTAATAGCAGTAGGAGCCGCTGTTTTTTAAACCCCCTTTCTCTCGAGAGCTCAACCGGATTTCCCAGGAGCATATATATTGTCATCCACAGACAAACTGTTTCGCTTCAGGATACGGAACAGAAAGAAAATAAATATATATATATATATATAAATGGCATTTTTTTATGTTTATACATTCTTTTTATAGATACAAATATTTAAGTAAATGCCCTGTTTTATAATAAACAGTATTAATAACATTTATCGTCCTGAATGTCCGAGAAATTTTCATAGAAAATATTCGTTCTCCGACAGGACTCGAACCTGTATCCTATACGGAACCGTCTTTTAGCCTGACGTGCCTTAACCGATCGAGCCACGGAGAATCATTCGGTTATCAAGGTCGATTTTACTGTTTTTAAATAAGAGTTTTTTGTGACGTCATTTTTTACATTTGGATACGCTTTGATCAGATATGAATATACGTGTGAGAGATTCATGGAAGATTGAAGTTTAAACGAAGTTCTAGGGACAATAGCAATAAAGAGAATAGGAAGCGACTGTTGAAATTTCTGGGGCGGATAATGAAGAAAGAAGGCTTGGAAAATTTGATACTCACAGGACAGATTGAAAGCAAGAGGCACAATACGGAAATCCGAAGGCGCAATGGGATGGCGAAAGATGCCTTCCAGAAGCTGAGCAAAGTATTAAGAAACAGAAAAATATCGCTAGTAACGATGAAAAGAATACTGAATTGGATAATCTCCTCGAAGATGCAAAAGCGAATTGAAACAACAGAAATATGGTTCTACAAAAAAGTGCTGAGAATACCATGGATCGGACATGTGAGCAACGACGAAGTTCTAGGGACAATGGAATAAGAAGAGACTGTTGATATTTCTGGGGTGGATAATGAGGAAAGAGGGCTTGGAAAATTTGATACTCACAGGACAGATTGAAGAAAAGAGGGGCAGAGGGAAGCAGCACACAACATAACTGGCGAGCTTGTGCGAATGGATAGCAAGGCAGTCTATGGGAGAGAAGACCAAAAGCAAAAACTATTGAGAACTACAAAGGAAAGAAAAATGTGGAGAGCCATGATCGTCAACGTCCTGAAGGGACACGGTGTATAGAAGAAGAAGAAGAAGAAGAAGAAGAAGAAGAAGAAGCCCTTGCAAAAAAAGCTCATTTGGATAGGTATGGGAAGTGGGTCGGACCTTCTCGTATACAGAGGGACACACAGACACTAACACACACACACACACACACACACACACACACACACACACACACACACATACGCATTTATAAAGAGAAATACAGGGTGGGCCATAAGTGTCCATACATAGGAAAATGCATGGTGCGGATCGGGATATGGGGTGAGAGAATTATTAGACCAATTTTTGTCAGTGAAAAACTTAATGCAGAAAGGTATCTTAACATGTTGCAAGAGGAAATTCTCCCATCCCTACTAAACGAGGAAGGTGACTACCCTGTTTACTTCCGGCAAGATGAAGCTCCACCACATTATGGTCATCAAGTACATCGGTATTTGGATCAGCAGTTTCCGGATTATTGGATTGGTCAGCGTGGTCCTGTGGAATGACCCCCAAGATCCCCACATCTCTACCCCCCACCTTGATTTCTATCTTTGGGGACATTTGAAGGCCATGGTGTATCAGGTGAAGATACAAGACATAAAACATCTCAAGAAACATATCACCAGCACTATTACAAGCATAAATTGCTAACTGCGCTAATGCGTTTTCATTAACAGTGGAAAACACGTATTAATATATGTTTTCAAAACGATGGTAATCATATAGAGTACATTATATAAATAAAAACGGTTGTCTACCATAAAATGTTTATTTTTTTCTATATATGGAAACTTATTGCCCACCCTGTAGAATCAGTGTGTGTGAGAGAGAGAAAGAGGAGGGAGTGACAGTCGGAGTCAGGCAGAGAAGCAGATATTAACTATTATGATAGGCAAATATGTATCGTATCTTATTTTAAGTCGAATTCAGTAACAGTTTCATTACGTGAAACTATATGTCATGGCGTAGGTGAATTATTAACTATTTCTCGTTACAAGGTCACATCTTTAAGGTGTGTGTTCTGATTTTATATTGCAGTCAAAAGAGAAAAAGGAACTTAATTATTTAACAATATATTTAAATAAATATGTTTGCTTCACTTATATTCCTTCGTTTTGTTGCGCGCTAAGATGAAAAGAAAAAAAATAGCTTGTGAAGTTACCTGATGCTATTTTTTCTTCTGTTGCTTCTATTTTTCAATCATCTAATTGCAGAATTTGTTTCACGATGGTCTCGACAACAATGATACTGCCAAGTAATTTGATACTCGTGTTTCTCCATTTCTTTCTTTGATTGTGTTGGCCGTTCGTTGTCATTCTTTCACATATTCAATCTTTCATTTGTTTTTTAATGAACCATTTCATATTGTTTTTTTTCTCCGTTGGGTATAAATTGAAGATTTTATTTTATTTTTTCAAAGCAAAATATATTTCGGTTTAATTTGAATTTTCCTAAAAGAAAAAAAAAAGAAAGAAATTTCTTTCCTTTATTTAACTACTTCGTTATTTTTTTTACAGCCTTTTTTTTTCAACCTTTTCTCCTTTCACTTACGTTTTCCTCCTTATTCTCTCTTTCTCTTTCTGTCTTCTTCCTCTTCGTTATTTTTTTTTACAGCCTTTTTTTTTTCAACCTTTTCTCCTTTCACTTACGTTTTCCTCCTCATTCTCTCTTTCTCTTTCTGTCTTCTTCCTCTTCGTTATTTTTTTACAGCCTTTTTTTTTCAACCTTTTCTCCTTTCACTTACGTTTTCCTCCTTATTCTCTCTTTCTCTTTCTGTCTTCTTCCTCTTCGTTATTTTTTTACAGCCTTTTTTTTTCAACCTTTTCTCCTTTCACTTACGTTTTCCTCCTTATTCTCTCTTTCTCTTTCTGTCTTCTTCCTCTTCGTTATTTTTTTACAGCCTTTTTTTTTCAACCTTTTCTCCTTTCCCTTACGTTTTCCTCCTTATTCTCTCTTTCTCTTTCTGTCTTCTTCCTCTTCGTTATTTTTTTGTGTGTGTTTTACGCTTTTCACCTTTATTATGTTGTTTTCTCTTTTTCTTTCTTTCAGTCTTTCTTTCTTTCTTTCTTTTCATCTTGTTTTTTTCCTTTCAATTTCTTTCCGTTCTCTCTTTCTCTTCTTTCGTTTCGCCTACCTTTTTCTTTTGTTTTTCATTTTTCATCTCTATCATGTTCTCTCTTTCTTTATTCCTTCACCATTCTATTTTCTACTTATCTGCTCTCTCGTTTTTCCACTCTTTCTTTCTTTCTTTCTTTCTTTCTTTTCCTGGGTTTTTGACTTCTCTCTTTGTCTTAAGCTTCTCATTCTTTATCCTACCTTCATCACTACTTTTTAATTTCTTTATCCTTTCCTTCTTTTTTTCTAATTAATTTGATATTTTCTCTTCTTTTTGGTCTTTGCACTCATTCCATCTTGTTCTTTCTTTCTTTCTCTTTTCTTTTTTTTTCTTTCTTCACTAATTCGAGTTAAACTATATATTTGTCTGTTCGAAAAGTAATTACGTATATCTCCGCTATACATTAGGAGTCAATCTCAAGTTAATGTTTGGTATTGCTTCACAATAAGGGAACAGATTACCAAAGCATATCTAAACAATTTAATATATCATTTTCAACAGTTCTAAGAATTATAAAACAAAAATAAAGGGCCAGAAATCAATAACAAGGCATCATCTCTTATGGCAAGAAAATGTTCTCAGAATTTAAGAACTATCTGAAGATATTGAGTCTACTTTGGTTGATTCCTACTGATACTGGACAAAGAAACTAGCGATCGATGATAATTCCTGTGTTCCAAAATATCTACGTCTAGTTTTTCTTGAGCGTCCTCCTGAAAAAGATTCAAGTTTTTGGCCACCAATTCTTTGGTCAGATGATGCAAAAATTAAGTTTCTTGGACATAGAGATGTTACTTGCATGCGCGATTGATTTGTTTTCGTCTTTGCAATTTATCAAGCCTTTGTGGTTTATTTGAAGCCGAAACATATTTTGGATTGCAAGAACTTCCTTTTGTGAGTAAATATTAACACCATTTTTGAGAATAACAATGATTTTTTTCCAGATGCATGTCCTTTAATCCATAGCTGGGGGAAAAGAGACGGAATCATTCTCTTCCCAAGGGTATTTGCGCCTAAGTGAATATAATAAACGCAACAGAAATTGGAATTCGGATCTTCAGTTAACAATTCCGAGCCATTATCCATTACATGCGGTTACCCATCTAGGTACTGACCAGCCTCGATGTTACTTAACTTCGGTGATCGTTTGGAAACCAGTTTTGAAGATTGTAGGTAAAAGCGAAGCAGTAAAGTGGATGATTCGTCTTTAATGGAATTGATTCTGACTTGGCATCTCGACCTCAGTCTCATTCTCACCGAAGTAACGTGGCTTCCCTCAGCCTTTTCTATAAATATTTTCATGGTAATTATTCTGATGAGCTTTCCTCCCTGGTGCCTCGGCTGCATGAATTTAAGCATGCTACTAGATTGGCAGTTAGGTCTCACCGTTTTACTGTTGAACTAGCTAGATGCAACCGTAAGTTCTATACTGATAGTTTCTTTTCTCTTACTTCTCGCCTGTGGAACTCTCATCCGCTTTATTTGTATCACGAAATCATTATTATCTAAAAAAAATTCTACAATTTTCTGCCTTTAAATAATCTGAAAAAGGTTGGTAAGCCGTAAAAACGAATCAATCAATCATACAATATTGAAAATTTAAATGCGACATTAATCACCAATTTTTTGTCTTTCTGAAACCTATGTTTTATTGTCCTTTCTCCTCACTAATTTCTTTCAATCCTAACGACCCCTTTGCGTCTTAGTGGCATTATCGCCTTGCTTGCGGTGAAATAATTAAACAACAGATACTTGGATTGACAAGCAGATAACAACAACAAAGATAACGATAATAGTACGCGTTTAAGCGTTTAAATATAATATATTCATCAGTGGATGTGAGAACAAGAAAATGACTTAAAAAATGTGTCGGAATAGACGTGAACAGTAATGTCAATATTCTAGAGCGGCTTAGCCATTCTTCAGTTCTTAATCAAATTGAGAACCTGCAGATAGAGCGATAGTCATGTGCAATGGCAAGTTAGCCACCCAGATTTAAGAACCTGGAATCCTTGGCAAAAGCGGTATAGGCTAAGGCATCCGTTAAGATTTGTCAGTATCAGGGGCTAAAGTATAAAAACCGATAACAGGGTTATAGTTACGAAGGTCTTTGCAAATTGATTATCAAAATATGGGTGTGAATAATTTTGAAACATGACTTCTATAACCAAATTGAAAGTAATACTTCAATATAATACTCTCTCTCCCTCCCTCTCCCTCTCTCTCTCTCTCTCTCTCTATATATATATATATATATATATATATATTATATATAGTTAGACGGATAGATACAGGGATACATTGTTTATTTGTTTAAATGGGTGTATGTAATTGTATAGTAAGGTTTTAGGTATATATGTTTATGTGCACGTATGCGTATGTCCGTATGTATATATGTGGGTAAATGTGTGTATACATGAAGGACTGGATGTGGATGGATGTATGTGTGTATATATGTATGTATGTGTGTGTATGTATTTTTGTATATTTTTGGGTTTATATATATATATATATATATATATATATATATATATATATATGTGTGTGTGTGTGTGTATGTATGTATATGTATATATATATATATATATATATATATATATATATATATATATAAATCGATTCTCCCGTCGGGTTCGACGTATGAGGGTCAAGCAGATCAGTTTCCAGAAAACTGACAGCCCGACAACAGCACATGAGATTTGATTATAGTGGTGAAGGTTTCGTGCAGGACCATCCACACTTTTTGAAGGGCCGATTACAGAGACCTAGTGCACTACGTGCCACAAGGTCCCTAAACGACCCTCCGCAGGTTTTTGAATTCAGAGTTGTCCTTCTCCTAGACCAGTTTCCATCCAAGGCTATAGAACACAGTCTGTTCTGCTATTTTACCCATAGCTGGGGTGAGGAGAAGAGGATTCACACCTTTCCCAAGGGTATTAGCACGTAAGTGAATGTAATGGATTCAACCTGGATTCGAACTCGGCTTTGCGATTCCTCAATCCAAGCCGATATCTATTACGTGCATGTATGTATATGTGTGTATGTGTATGGATGTGTATGTGTGCATATATATATATATATATATATATATATATATATATATATATATATATATATATATATATATATATATATGTATCTGTGCATGTGTATGTGTGTATATGTATGTGATAAATGTGTGTATATGGATATAGATGGATATGTGTATGTGTGGATATGTGGATATATTTATATATATGTGTGCATGGGTATATGTATGTGTGTATGTGGGTACACGCCTATGTGTATGTATATACGTGTATATGTTATTGTGTATGTGTGTATTCGCATGTGTTTTTGAACATAAAAATATAGGTCCTTGCTAGATTAGATAATCGTTATATTTATTTTTTATATATTTATATTTGATTTGTAACCTATAGTCGATATTAAATTTGTCAAATTTTCTCAATTACACAGCGGCTCTTTCAGTAAATGTCGTTCAATTTTACTTTCCTTCGCCCCATCTCTCTCCCCCACCTCGTCCTTCGCTCCCTCTTATTCTGATCTTCAAAATTAGATCGTCTATGGTGTGTGTATGTCAACACGAAATGTATCTTTATGCATTAGACATCCGACAACATTCATATTTCTCTTACTTAAACCCCTTCCACTCAACTCTTCTAAAACTCTCTCTGTTAAGGTTTAATCTCCCTCCTTCTCTAGTCTGTTACCCCTCATACTTACACTCTCTCTAAATTCTGTTTTTATTTCCGGAGTTGTTTTTTCTGTTTTCTTTTTAAATTTGTAGGTCAGATGAATTGAATCGTATTTACGATTCCAATGGAATAAATTATGACCATGGAATATTAGTGTTTAAGCCTTTTTATTATATCCTTACTCTGTCCTGGACATTGAGTTCTACCTGGATTCTATCCTCTTGGAATTTTTATTAAAAAGATATACATGTATAGGCATTTATATATTTTGCATATGTATGTATATTTACCACTAATATTATCTATCTCTCTCTCTCTATATATATATATCCTAGCTAGGGGCAACCGGACGTCTAGTCACACTGATGAGCTGTGATACAGCGAAACAGTCTGTATGTGGATGACAATATACATGCTCCTGAAAAGTTTATTTCGGTTGAACTCTCTGGGGAGGAAGTCTGACTATTACGGCTAATAATGCAAGACTCTTCGGTAAATCGAATCGAGTTCTCTCAGTCACTCTGTGTTTATCTAAAAATAAATGCGCTTAAATTGACCTTCATCCCTGTCGTGCGCCAATGAATCTCCGACTGATGCCATGCCAATTCAGTCTGAGATACAACAAAACAGTCTGTCTGTGGATGACAATATACATGCTCCTGAAAAGTTTATTTCTTGAACTCTCTGGGGAGGAAGTCAATTACCGCAAGACGTCGAATCGACCAGTCACTCTGTGTTTATCTAAAAATAAATGATGACCTTCATCCCTGTCGTGAGAATCTCCGACTGATGCCAATTCAGTCAGTTTCGATCTGATGAGCTGAGATACAACGAAACAGTCTGTCTGTGGATGATATATATATATATATATATATATATATATATATATATATATATATATATATATTATAATTAAGTAATTCATCGAGTCTACAAGAAACCTTAACAATGCAGAAGGCACTGGATAGCTGTTTCGTCCTATATTTGGGACTCATCAGCAGTGCGTATCCACTACCGAGAATTGAATCCCGGACAGTTACTCGGATGAGTTCCGTCACGGAATATATGATCGAGTGGCACTATATCGAGTCTAATTCATTACCTCTTCGTCACCAAGTTCCGTTGGTACATCTGGTATGACGTTTGTCTGATGTCGTAACTGAATCGTAACTCAAATCCATCTAATAATATATATATATATATATATATATATATATATATATATATATATATATAATATATAAAAAGGCAGTACGTGTGTGTGTAACGAATGCACGGCCGCAATTTTCGACGGATTTGCACCAAAATTTACATGCACATGCTCCAAGTTAGCGGGAAGGCCAAGATCAACGTTGCATTTCCCAACTCCTATCGATAGTGGAAATAATCCATGTTTTCATGCTTCTACTGCAGTTTTCATGTAGTTTGCGGCCATTTTCTACTGGCCAGAAAGAGAGCCAATAGTTGGCTGCCA